CAAACCCACACACAAACATCATGATTTAGAGGATACCTTGTAAGAATTCACCACGTAAACAGTCGGGACTAAATCACCTACTACTGCAGTACTGAATTTTGGGGATTTCTGGTAAATGGTTGTTAGGTTGGGTAACTTGCAAGAAGTACATCTTGCAATACTTTACTCAGTTTTTCTTTTTTCCCCAAAGGAACTCTTGGAGTGGTTACTGAAGTTACGATAAAGATTCGCCCGGTCCCTGAATACCAGAAGTATGGCTCTGTGGTCTTCCCCAACTTTGAACGAGGGGTGGCCTGCTTAAGGGAAGTGGCAAAGCAGGTAAAGAAAAGCCAGATGTTGACTTCACTCGAAAACACAAATTCTAGCATTAGGGATGTGTTGATGCTCTAGTATTTCTGACAAAAGTCATGCAATGGAAGGATATGGCCTGTGTTTAGCAAACAGTTCCTGAAGCACAGTGACACATTCAGGTGAGCTGGATATTTTGAGGTGGAATTGTGCTTACACTGTGGTATTTAAACAGAGTCTTCTGAATAGTATGGTCAGATGTGTTTTCAGGCAGCAAAACTCAGACATGGGTATCCAAACTGTGTAATGTTTTCCCTCGTGGCTGTGCTTCCAAGCAAATCTTACACTGGCTAGCCTCTTTCTTCACAATCTTAGTCTAACTTCTTTGCTCTGTGCAAAACATATCAAATTTCTATGAATGGTGGAATATACCCTGAATTGGGGAAGTAATTTCAGAAATGTTTTAATGCCAAACTAAACACAGCTTTACATTTTTTCCAGTGATTGGTCTAAATTAATGACTTAATGACTTAATGTTCTAAGCCAGATGTTCAAACTGGTATGTGAATGACATGTATATGCTAGTCAGCAGCACTTGCCAGTTCTTCTGTTGTGCTTCTACTGCTAGTGCTTGTTCTTCCTGTTAAAGGTACCTAAGCAAACTGGGAATGCTTAACCATATGGCTGATCAACATTTTAAGTTGATTAAGAAACTAATGTCTTT